AGAGGAAGGGGAAGGAAGAAAAAGATAGAAACATCAATGATGAAGGAGAATCATTGACTGGCTGCCACCTGCACGTCTTCTACTGGGGATTGAGCCTACACCCCATGGAATCAAACCATGACCTCCTAGTTAATTCTTAAATATGTTTATTTTATTTGATTTCAGAGAGAGGAAGGGGAAGGAAGAAAAAGATAGAAACATCAATGATGAAGGAGAATCATTGACTGGCTGCCACCTGCACGTCTTCTACTGGGGATTGAGCCTACACCCCATGGAATCAAACCATGACCTCCTAGTTCATAGGTTGACGCTCAAACACTGAGCCATACTGGCTGGACTAAACCAGTGTCCTTGGTTTAGGGAAGATAGCATTTACCAAATGGCTGCAAACTGCTTGTTTAACTATCTGTCTCAGTTTCCCTATTCCACTTGTCCTGGCTTACTAGCTACCTCAACAGGGCTACTAAATGCTATACTTGAACCCAGGTCTACTGGCTGTAGGGTCATTTCTGTCCCACTGTACCATGTCGCTGCGAACCTTAAATGTTGATTTCTTATTCACCATGCTCTGTTGCCTCCCAGCACCAAACACCTGGTCTAGAGAGCAAGGGCTGTGATCACCATCTTTCTTGCTCCTAGACCTTCAGTGGCTCCCAGGTGCCCACAGGGACAAAGCAACTCTACCTGACACTTGAGATCCTCAGAGACTAGGCTGACATCCCATCACCACAATTCCCCAGCTCATGCTGTGCACTCATTTTTCTAACCAGATGAGCTACTTGTTCCTTATCCATCCTCAGTGCAGTGGTCAGACCTGGCACCCAGGGCCACACAGTCCTGTGCATGTGCCTCTGGCAAACAGTATTTTATGTTTGGTATCAGGATGGGATCATGGTTTCTTTTCCCCTCCCACTAAAGCCTTTCAGTCTGTTACTATCATTATTAATTTTGATGTTTTAGTTGTCCCAGATTTGACCAAAAGGAACTCCTCCAACCTGGCTTTTGTGTCCTTTTAACATGCCTCATTACTCTTTTAGCATATCCTTACTTCCTGTCTCAATAAGATGCTCCAATTGCAGGTACACATTGCAATTTCCCTGCCCGAGCCCTGAGAATGTTATTTCTCCAAGGAGCCTTGGTTCCTTTCAGTGGAGGATGGTATTTAGAAAGCAAGATCTGGGTGATTGTTGCTCGAGAGGTGTCATTTCTTGTGGGTTCTCTCAGCAGGTGGAACTAGGAAGTGTATTTACACCTGCGGTTTGTGATTGAGAAGTTTCACTTAAAAATATGTACTGCTCCTCTTCAGAAACCTAAATATCTCATCACAATTAGTGGGGAAATTGGCAACAATCAGCTGGAGCATGGTAGGGGTTCAGTAATATAGATTTTCTCACTAGAATATTTATTGAAGACTCCCTGTAAGCCAGATATGATGACTATATTAATACTAATGGCTGGTACTGCATATAGTATGAGACTATCCTTCTCTAGTAATGCCCACTTTATATGCTTGGAGACAGTCGAGTTTCAATTTCCAGGACTTTCTCTCGATTGCTTTCTTCCCTCCAGTTGGAAGGAAGGCTGGAGATCCTCACAAGTCCAACTCACTCAAAGCCCAGCTCAAATGCTACCTCCTCCAATTTGCCCTGTCAAAGGTCCCCTCTCCAATCTATAAGCTCTATACCCTTCTCATAACATTTACCACCTTTGATTTTGAATTATAGGTTTTTAGTTCATCCTACTCCTAGTTTATTGTCTTTCTGATAAGAAGACTGTTCCTGTTGCTGGCTCCCCTTGAGGGCAGGAGCTGTATCTGTTTTGCTCAGTTATGCCCTTTAAACTGAACATCAATGAAAAATTCCATCAGGAATAAATACTGTTGAACCTCTTATTGCATGTGGGGCAGATAGTAGTAATAAAATTGTGAGCAAAACAGGTGTGGCTATCTCCTCATGGAGATAACTGACTTCTGTGGGGGAGAGAAATTAATTCACACAATATTGCCCAAACCGGTTTGGCTCAGCGGATAGAGCATTGGCCTTTGGTCTCAGGGGCCCCAGGTTCGATTCTGGTCAAGGGCATGTACCTTGGTTGTGGGCATATCCCCGGTGGTGAGTGTGCAGGAGGCAGCTGATTCGATGTTTCTCTCATTGATGTTTCTTACTTTCTATTCCTCTCCCTTCCTCCCTGTAAAAAAATCAATAAAATACATTTAAAAAATCACATAATATGAATTTGTGGAATGACTGGAAAAACAAATGATCTACATTTGTATTTTTTTATTCATTTCAGAGAGAAACGGGGAGAGATAGAAATATCAATGATGACAGAGAATCACTGATCGGCTGCCTCCTGCACACCCCCTACTGGGGATTGAGCCCGCAACCTGGGCACATGCTCTGACTGAGAATCTAACTCTGACCTCCTGGTTCATAGGTTGATACTCCACCACTGAGCCACACTGTTTTTGCCTTACAGACAATGAAGTGACAGGTCTCTTGTGTATTTACACTTGTTTTTCTGGTAGGTGCCAGGAAATCGATTGCTTGGTCATTGGATTGCTTTCCTTTTTTGCCCTATACGTGCCTGTATTGCTGGAATTCATGTGTTACTTTTGTGATTAAAAAACACCCCCCCGCCCATAAAACAGAAGTAGGTAGATTGTTCCTGTTGTTGGCTCTTAGGAAGCAGAGGTGCTTAATCATTGTCATTTGACTGTTATATAATCTGCTAATCATTATGTAATAAAATCTGTCAAAGATATTCCTGTGATTCCACATCACCAAGCAAAGAAATCTCGGGCCTTCAACCCTGTCTAAAATATGAGAAACATGGCTCTCTTCAGTGACTTTGGGTCTTTTCGGATGTGAAATATCAGCAAGTCTCAATGACCAAGGTTTCCTATTGGTAAAACCTTAAAAATCTGTTTCCCTTTTGACTGTCACAGAACCACAGAGCTGGAAGGGACTTATTAGCAGGCTCATGCAGTCTTACAACAGTTTCCAAAGGACAGTTTTGAGTTGTTGCAAAGTCAGAGAGTTTGGATGCAGCTGGAATTCCTGTAGACACTATCACCTTGCAGGTGATGAGAGAGGAGCTTAAACATTAGCTGATAAAAGCTGAAGTACATAAAATCCTCGAGTGATGCTCAGACAGCAACAGATATAGTAATCGCTGCTGTTTGAATAGCAGGTGGTTGGTTCTCCAAATGCTTCCCCAAGTACTATGTCATTGACTCCTGAGACGAGCCCACTGGCTTTAGCTGGGGACACCAAGGCTGAGAGAGAATCCTACAATTAAGGAACAACTAACAGGCTTGTTCAGAGCTCAGGGAAAAGATGTATAAGGAGCTCCAGGTCTTGTGGGGGAGTCAGGTTTAAAAATGTAATCCACTGTGGCTAAGAGCTGAGATAAAATGATGAAAGACAGCCCAGCCCCAGTGGCTCAGGGGTTGAGAGTGGACCTATGAACCAGGAAGCCACAGTTTGATTCCCAGTAAGGGCACATGCCAGGGTTTTGGGCTCCATTCCCAGTTGGGGGTGTGCAGGAGGCAGCTGATCAATGATTCTCTCTCATCATCGATGTTTCTATCTCTCTCCCTCTTCTTCCTCTCTGAAATCAATACAAAATATTTTAGAAAAATGATGAATGTTGTGGGGAAACCAGAGGAAGGCTGGTCTTTGCTGGGAAAAATCAGGGAAAGGTTCCAGAAAGGCTGTGAGGACTGAGCTGGGGCTGGAAGCCAGAAAAACTAGGAAGAGATGAGGTGAGGAAACGGATATTTACACGGTTGGAACAGCATATAGAGGCACAGAGGCCAGGAGGGTAGAAGAGCATGAGAAGTGCAGGGAGCCAAGAGCATGTTGGAGGAGGAGAACTTGGCATGGAGTGGGCTCTAGTCTTTAATAAATGTCTGGGATAAGTTAGGGAGATAGAATGAATGGTTCAGTTGCAAATATGCCCAACAGTCTTGAGTATGTACTAGAGATTCAGTGAGTGGCGAACCACAGAAACCGAGTCCTCGGGGAGCTTATGGGCAAGGTGGTGTGGGTGGGAGCAAAGACAAACCCATGAAATGAAGTAACAAGCCACCAATATCGATGCCAATGTAGCCCACGCCGCTACCACAGGTGCCTGTTGAAAAGTCAAAAAGCAATGAGGCACTATCTTGATTTTCCCCACTGCCGACTTCCATTTAAGGAAATTGAGGGCAGAGAGAGGTAATTTCTTTTAACTTAACCAGGTTTAAAAAGAAAATATATTTAGCTCTTTCTGCCAACTATTGTAATAAGCGGTTTCCATATATGAACTTAATGCTCACATGAATTCCCAGGAGACGGTACTATTACAACTCCATTTTATAGGTGAAAAAACGGAGGCGCGGGGAGGTTAAGCAACTTTCCCAAGGTCAGGCAGCTAGTAAGTGGCAAAGGCCAAGCTGGGAGGACAGCCTGTAGCATCAACCGTGCTCTCTAGGCTGGATTCAGTCTCCGCGATCCCGGCTTCTCTTGCTTCTTTAAGCCTGGGCTTCTCCGCCCGTAAAAAGGAGGCGAGGGATCCAGCTGTCAGCCTCTGCCATGGGCAGGCGAGAGCACAGTTCCGGGGTCATCTCCACGGAGGGCAAGTCCGGGAGGCGGAGGCCCAGGGTCGCTCATTCTGGGCTAACGGCTCGTACTCCACCGCCCCGCTCCTCACCGGTTCCCATGACAACTCGGCTAGCTGCCAGCCAGGGGCGGACGGCATGCGTCACTTCCGGATCCGTTTACTTCCGGGTCCAGGCCCCAGCCCGGGTCGTGCCTTTCAGTCTCTACAGTGAAATTCCGCCGCTTCTGTGCCCGCTCTTCTGCCTTCCGCTCCTTCCTCCTTCGCCCGTGGGCATCGGCCTTTCCCGGCCCAGCGCGCAGCCGCGGCCCGGCCTCCCTTCGGACCCGCCTCCGAGGAACGTCATTTCCTGGCCGATTGTTTCCGGGTCGCCGCTGGCACCGGGGTACAGGTCTCAAGCCCCTGCAGCCGCCCGGAGCGGCGAGAACCCACCCGGCCCGGTCTGGCGGCGGCCGCGGCTCTTTCTCGCTTCCCTCGGCCGGGCGTCTTCGGGGGCAGTGGCGGGGTAAGTGCGGTGACCGCGACGGAAACAGCCTCTGGGGTTTTCCCAGGCGGAGGGAGCGTTCGTCTCGGCGTCCAGGGAGCGGGGTCCCCTCCCGCACGGCGGGAATGACGGGCGGGCCCGCCTTCTCCGCACCGCGGGGCCCAGCTTGTCTTCAGGATCCCTGCTTCCCCAGGGACTGCTCGGCAGACCCCTAGGACCAGACATGGGTGGCGCGGGGCAGTCAGGAGGAACACCCCCTCGTTGGCGTCTAACCGAGGAGGAGGACATCCCGGTTCCACCGTGAGGCCGTGACGGCGCAGTGGTCCTCAGCCCGATTTTTGGCGGCCGACCTGGGCTTGTACTCACTGTGTGACCTTGGACAAGTCACTGAGTCTTCTGAGCCTCAGTCACCTAATTAATTAGTTAAATGGGAGTGAGCTTGCCTGTTAGGACTGTACTGGGGATGAAATGAGCTAATGCTTGTGGAGCACCATCTCTGGCATACAGCAGGCGTCCCATAAATGGTAGCTGCTGTCAGTTCATTCACGGGCCCGTGGGGGAGGCCCCGAATTCGGGTCTAGGATTTTTTGTTGTTTGTTTTGTTTTGTTATCACTGACGTGGCCTTCCAAGGTTACCAGGCTGGGAATAGCCGCCGCCCGCTTCTGTCCCCTGCAGGGAGGGGACACTGCTTCCTCCAGAGCCCCTCGCAGAGGCAGCTGCCGCCGGGGAAGCCCGATGTCAGCACCGCCGGGGTTATTTTCAGAGGTTGGGGAGGCCTCTGTCTGTCTCTGATCTTCTCTGGAGTCTGGTTGGGGTGTGGGGACGCTCTGGCCTTTAACAGCCAGCGGAAGCTGTCTAGGATATGCCCCCAGAGCCTTGGACTTGGAAATGAGTGCAAAGGAGTGGGGTGAGGAGGTGACAGGGTTGAACTGCTCTGGCCTCGCCGCTGCTGGGAGGCCGAGGGGCGTCCAAGCCCGCGGAAGCTAGACCAGGGATCTGTAAACCTGAGGACTGGGGCAGTGCTGTGACCAAAATAGCTCCCGCTGTGCAGGGAGGGGGCGCCTTCCTATGCAGCTTGGGGAATGTTTCTGCTTGAATGGGCCAGCTGAGGAAAAGCCAAGCCAATGCTTTGCTTCCCAGAATCATTTCAGTTCCATTCAGTGGGGTTTTAAACAGATTAAGTTTTCCTTTGTGATGTTTAAAAAATAATAATTAAAAAGCCGCCGCCTCCTATCTAGCTCTTCATTGATTTGCTTTTTATAAGAGGTCCAGGTTATGCCCCTTTTGAAAAGCAAATCAGTGAAGTGCTGACCAACCCTTTTGGCTCTGAGCACCTGCCTGACTTTGTTAGGGATGTTCAGTGCCTATTTTTTTTTTTTTTTTCCGCCAGACTGGCACGCCTTGGCTTTCCAACTTGCTTGGGTTGCCTGGAGAAATTAACAGCTTCTGTCACTGTGCTGTCTGGTCTGCAACCACACTGTTTTTGCAGTGAGCGTGTTTTCAGTTCTTGCAGAGTGTTGGAAATAAATTGCTGGTTCTATGCTCAGAAAAGACACCTGCTATGACCAGCTATAATGCAGCCTGTATTCTCAGAAAATGTAATCAGGACGGATGATGTCAGCTGCTTCACCACGGGCCAGTCTCTGGCCAGCCTCTTCCCTTGGCCCTTAAGCTTACATCATAGAGCTTCCAGCCCCATTCTGTGTGGGAAGATGAGTTTTGCTACTACAGGAATTTTGGAACTCAACTCTGCTCTCCCTGCCATAGGGCCTTCTAGCTTAGCTGAGCCCTTTCAAGTAGAGCTGTCCAGCAGACCCAGCTGACAGCTTTGCTTAAACGCCGTGCAGCTGAGAGCTCGAGCCAGGATTTTGGCATCCGACGAAGGTTCAGATCTCAGATCCACTTCTTAGGGAGCCTTGTGACTCAGGACAAGTGACTTGGCTTCTCTGAGCCTCAGTTTCCCCTTTAATCTTGGGGCTGTCCTGTGGATTTCATTGAATTACATTGAGCTTCAGCAGAAGGCCCTTATATACTAATCACTTGGTGAATGGTATTAATTTTAACAATAAATAAGACAAATGGGAAAAAAGCACAGGCGCCAGGATTGGCCAGCTCAAATTCAAATTGCAGCTTTGATTTGAAGCTCTGTTGGGCAGATTATTTAGTGACTTGGTTTCCTCATAGCATTATTACATGGTTTAGACGGGATGATGGAGTTGAAGCAGAAAGCCCAATGCTTAGCACATAGGACCTCAATAATTGTTTCCTTCTCTCCTTTCCTTAATTATCTTTTAGCATTCATTTTCTTTCACTACCTAGGTTGGTACAAGATTCTCCTTAGATGGGTTCTCATCCTTGACTTTAGGATTTTGAACACCAACTAGGCTGTTTGGATCCCTTCTCCTTGCTTATTGTTTGCTAGCAACAAACAAGGGTGTGGATGTGGTGTGATTACAGAGCAGCAGACACAGAGCTTGAGGGTGGCTGACTTTGTAAAAAGAATAAAAATAAGAGCCCCAGCTGGTTTGGCTCAGTGGATAGAGCGTTGGCCTTCGGACTGAAGGGTCCCAGGCCCAGTTCTGGTCAAGGACATATGCCTGGGTTGCAGGTTCGATCTCCAGTGGGGGGTGTGCAAGAGGCAGCTGATCAATGATTCTCTCATCATTGATGTTTCTATCTCCCCTCTCCCTTCCTCTCTGAAATCAATAAAAATATTTAAAATAAATAAATAAAAATAAGAAATCATCTTCTAAGGCAGTGGTTCTCAACCTGTGGTTCGCGACCCCTTTGGGGGTCAAACAACCCTTTCACAGGGATCGCCTAAGACCATCGGAAAACACATCTATAATTACATATTGTTTTTGTGATTAATCACTATGCTTTAATTATGTTCAATTTGTAACAATGAAAATACATCCTGCATATCATATATTTACATTACGATTCATAACAGTAGCAAAATTACAGTTATGAAGTAGCAATGAAAATAATTTTATGGTTGGGGGTCACCCCAACATGCGGAACTGTATTAAAGGGTCTCGGCATTAGGAAGGTTGAGAACCACTGTTCTAAGGGCTCAAGGCTGACTTTTCTTGAATGAAAACTCACAGCAGTGTTTAGTAGGCTAGATGTCCCTCTGTTTAAACTGTTCTCAGGTACCAACAAGCAGTCCTTGGGGCTGGAGGCAGGATGGAAGCTTTCCTTGGATAAATAAGAAGTGATAAATGCTTGTGGGTTTCTATTAGCAAGGACAGTGATGTCTTCTCTCAGGTTGCAATACAATTTTGTTTTCCAAGAGAACATACATAGTTTGATACTGGACAGTAAAGTCTTTCAACTAGAATTGAGGGCAGGACTATGTCTTCTCAACTCTGTCCCTTATTGTTCCTACCACCTGGTATCCGCCCACACTGCCTCCAGCCCAGTGCCTGGCACGAGGTAGGTGCTTCGTAAATCCTTGATGAACTCAGGAATTGTGGGGTGATGGGAGCACCACAGGCTCCAAGTCAGAAGGTCAGGCTTGGAATCTTGGGTCCACCGTTTTCTAACCCTGAGCTACTTGGGACGTAGAGCACATCCTATCTCGGAGCCTCTTTTCCTCTCTCCAGCTGATCGCCAGGATTGTTGGGCGAGCTAAAGAAACTAAAGGGGTAGCATCATGATTGCTTACATCCTTTGCATCATTCATTTAACCTGTTTTATCAAACACTAAGTGCCAGGCCCTGTGTTAGGCAACATGGTGAACAAAACAGATGTGTGGTGCTTTGCCTTTGTGGAGTTTACTGGGTAGTGGGGGGAGACAAAGAGAGGAAGTTAGTAAATGAATAAATACGGTGATGATTTCAGATGGTGATTATCCCAGGATGAGTGGATAAAGAACTGGGAAGGTGGGAGTTACTGAGCTGGGTTGTCAGGGACGGCTGCTATTTGAGCTGAAGCCTGAAGGAGAGCACCAGCTATGGGAAGAGTCAGAGGAAGAAGATGCAAAAGGAACATGTGCCACGGTCCTGAGATAGAAAGGAGCTTGTTGTATTTGAGGAGCAGACAGGTCATGTGGGTAGAACTTGAGGGAAGGGAAAGACTGCCATGTAGAGCCTTTGACCTTGGTCAGGGGGTCAAATGCCATTTCCCACTGCTGGGAGCCTCCTTCACTCAGACAGCAGGTATTTCTAAAGCACATGCCCTGCTCCCTGCATGCATGGTGTTGTGATCAGGAAAGGCAGGACAGGTGAGTGTGAAAATGCATATCCTGTGAGATTTGTCCCACTCTGATCTTACCTTCCTGAGAAAGCTTGGCATCTTGGGGGGTATAGCACCTTCAGACACAGGAATGGCTGCTTGTCTGTCAAGGACTTCTTTTAAGCCAGCATACTGATTGCATACAATCCTCCCACCAACTCTGGACTCTGGGTACTATTATCAACCCCTTTTTTCAGATGAGATAACTGAAGCCCAGAGAGGTTGAGTAATTTGCCAAAGTAACCTAGAAAAGCAGACCCAGGATTCACACCCAGGAAGCCTTGCTTCGGAATCTGTTTGTCACCCCTGTGCCATATTGCCTGCCCCTGGCCCTGGCAATATCCTTCAATAAATCCAATTTGCTCCCAGCATTGTGGCATGAAGAATATTGCTGGATCTGTAAATGTGCTACTAACGGGTGGCCAAGCAGACAGCAAGAGCATATAAATTGTGTGTATCTCAGCTCAGAACATTCTATCCTCTCCCAGCAGAACTGTAAACTGCTCTTAAGGTAAAGGGGAATGCGGGTGATCACAGGCAGATATAAGCACTCTCCAGGGGCCAGCAGCCAGCGTGGTCTCTTTTTAAAATTGCAAATAGGATCATGTCCCACTTCCCATTGCTTTGAACTCTTCAGGCAGGTGCTTCACATGGCTCTTGGAATAAATATAAAATTCTTAACGTGCCTTTTGAGGCCTTAGGGAATGGGATGCTGCATTTGCCTGTAGCTTCATCTCCCCTTCTCTCACTGCTGCAGCCGCACTGTAGGCGTCCTTCTGTTCATAGCCAAGCTCTTTCCTTCCTGCCTCAGGAAAGCAGGGTGTGGTGTTACAGGCATGGACTTTGGAACCAGACTGCCAGGTCTCTCATCTCAGATCTGTTTCTGAATAGTTTTGTAACTTTCAACAAGTTTCTTAGTGTCTCTAAGTCTTGGTTTTTACATCTGTAAGATGGGGATAACAGTAGTATCTATCTCTGAGGGTTGTTTGAGAAGACAGAATGTGTTAGTACAGGTAGGTCCCTGGCACACAGTAAGCACTGATAGTGTTAGCTCAGGGCCTTTCTCCCTTCCGACACCTCTGCTGTGACACCCTCCGTCCACCTCTTTGCCTGGCACACTCCTCATCTTTTGTGTCTGTCACGGCCTCAGGAGGATTTTTTTAACACTACTCCTCCCACAAAACCAGGTTATGTGCCCCTAGTACTTTTCATTTGTGAGCTCACCTGGGAGCACGTGTAGTACGTGTTCAGTAAATGTGCTGAATCAATGAGCAAAATGGGGCCCAGGACTGGTGGTGCCCACTGTACCTTCGGCCAGTTCTGTGTTTTGTTTTGCCACAGCTGATATGTGGACCATTGCAAGGGATGACCTGCTTCTCGTTCTTCCCCTTCCAGAACACTCCGCTGGTCCAGGTGGGCAACATGTTAGTGCTTCTAGCCATGTCCCTGCCTCTAATCCAGAGGCCATGGAGGAGATAAGGTAGCCCCTCATCCCTGGATCTGATGGGGAAGCCCAGTTCAATGGATACAAAATATAAGGATGACTTATTTCGGAAGTATGTGCAGTTCCATGAGGGCAAAGTGGACGCCACCCCCAGCAAGCAGCGGCCTGGCAATGATGAGTACCTGCGGGTGGCAGCCTCGACCTTGCTCAGTCTGCACAAGGTGGATCCCTTTTATCGATTCCGGCTGATCCAGTTCTATGAGGTGGTGGAGAGCTCCTTGCGTGCGCTGAGCTCCTCCAGCCTGCGGGCTTTGCACTGCGCCTTCAGTGTGCTGGAAACGGTGGGTGTCAACCTCTTTCTCTACCCATGGAAGAAGGAATTCAGAAGCATTAAGGTAAGGTCTAAGGTAGGGCCCTCCACACTGGTCTCCCTTCTGCTTTCTGGTCCCTTCCAGTCCGTCTTGCGAGGGCTTGTGCCAGTTTGATCACATTTATCCTCTGCTTGCAGACTCTCCCGTGTTTCCCAACGCCTTTGAGATAACAACCAGAATTACCCCTATGGCTTCTCACCTTGCCTGTCTGTTAAATGTCATCTCTTAACTGGGTCCCCACCTCTGGCAGCTCACCTCTGCTGCTGGGAGGTTAGAAAGGCAGGCAGCACCCAGGTTGTGTGGAACCTGGAGGCCCAGGGCAGAGGGCCTGGATTTGTCCTAAGGGGATTGAAAAGTAAGGCGGTGCCATGATTAGTTTACATTTGAAGAGAATCCTCTGGGTGGTGTATGGGCAGTAGACTGTATGGGCAAGAGTGGGGCAGGGAGACCAGTTAGGAGGCTGCTGTAGAGGACCAGTAGTAACCGAGGAGTGAGGAGGAGGAATCGGAGAGAATTCTGAATCATTCTGAAGGCAGTGATGGCTCAGGAGGGTTTTCACTAAGTCAGGATCTTAAGTCTGACATAGAGGGTGGGGCAAGAGTAGGTTTACAGTTTGTGAGGACGTGAAACACAAGTTTTTTCTGGTATTATTATTTATTATTTTCCACATGAACAATTTAAAACCCACTTTTGCTCCACCTGTATTGTTCAGACCTTTTAGAAATGCCAGAAAGGAATATTCTCATTGCTCATCTGGCCCTGCTTCTGATCCTCATTCCTCACCGAGTTTGCCCTGCTCCTTACAGGGAGTAGTGTTGTGGTGCCGAGTAGAAAGCTAATTGAAAGCTTTGTCCCCTGTGCTTAAGATAGGAGTGGTGCACCATTTCCCTCACACCAGGGCACTGAGCTGTTGGTAAGCATTAGCCTCTGCCTCCTGTAGTGAGAAGCTATTGGGATCACTCCCTTCCCTTCTGTGGTTTCCTGCTTCCAGTTCAGACTAGGATGTGCTGCGCTTTGAGGCAGTCTCCCTTGTGTGTCAGAGAGAAAGTCCCTCCTCTTTGTCCCCCTTCCTTCCAGACCTACACGGGCCCCTTCGTTTATTATGTCAAGTCCACGTTACTGGAAGAGGACATCCAAACCATCCTGAATTACATGGGCTACGTGCCTGAGTTGGGGACTGTGTACAAGCTCACAGAATTGGTGGAGACCCTGCAGGTGAAGATGGTCTCCTTTGAACTCTTTCTGGCCAAGGTGGAGTGTGAGCAGATGTTGGAAATCCACTCCCAAGTCAAGGACAAAGGCTACTCTGAGCTGGATGTGGTAAATGAGCGCAAGAGCAGTGCAGAGGATGTGCGGGGCTGCTCCAACGCCCTGCGGCGGCGGGCTGAGGCCCGGGAGCACCTGCCTGCTCCAGTGGCTCGAGTGGCACTCCAGAAGTCGGCCAGCGAGCGGGGGGCCAAGGACTACTACAAGCCGCGTGTGACCAAACTCTCGAGGTCAGTGGATGCCTACGACAGCTACTGGGAGAGTCAGAGCCGGAAGCCGCCCCTGAAGACCTCGTTGAGCCTGCGGAAGGAGCCTATAGCGGCAGAGGTAGGGGATGACCTCAAGGATGAGATCATCCGCCCATCCCCCTCACTCCTGACCATGTCCAGCTCCCCCCATGGCAGTCCTGATGACCTTCCACCCTCCTCCCCCAGCAATGGCCTTGGCCTGCTGCGTGGCACGTACTTCTCTGCTCAGGATGACGTGGATCTCTACACAGACTCAGAACCTAGGGCTGCGTACCGGAGGCAGGATGCCCTGCGACCAGATGTGTGGCTGGTCAGAAATGATGCCCACCCTCTCTACCATAAGCACTCGCCCCCCACCAAAGAGTCCGCCCTATCCAAGTGCCAAAACTGCGGCCTGTCCTGTAGCTCCTCCCTCTGCCAGCGCTGTGGCAGCCTGCTCCCCGGCCCCCCAGCCTCCAAGCCCAGCATCTTCCCCAGCAAGTCCTCTGCCCACGACAGCCTGGCCCATGGGTCATCTCTGAGGGAGAAGTATGCGGGCCAGACTCAGCTGGTGCACCCCCACTCAAAATCCAAGTCCTCTACCACAGCCACCTCCCGCTGTGGCTTCTGTAATCGCCCAGGTGCCACCAACACCTGCACTCAATGTTCAAAAGTTTCCTGTGATGCCTGCCTCAGCGCCTACCATTATGACCCCTGCTGCAAAAAGAGTGAGCTGCACAAGTTCATGCCTAACAACCAGCTGAACTACAAGTCCACCCAGTTCTCCCATCTCGTGTATAGATAAACTGGGCCTTGCTCCTCCCTGCTACAAGGGCTACACCACTGATCTTTCTGGTTTCATGGGGAAGATGTGTTCATACATTGATCTGGGAAGCAGAGAACCGCACTTGACCATGTAGGTGCCGGGGATATGGGTCAGCTGCACCATGTAGGAGTTCACTTAGTGACTGACATATTTCAGCTGATGGCTGCTTTGTCGCCTGACAAGGGAGAGGGTGGCACTTCCATTTAGATTCATTTTTCTAATCTCTTTATCGCCCCCCCCTTTTTTTTTAAAAAAAGAGGATTTCTATCCCAGGGACTCTTGCCACATCTACCCTTCCCACCACAAAGCCAACTTGGACTAGGAAGGGCCCTCCAGGTCACTTCCTGGAATGGTGAGCTAGAGGCCTGTTGGCTTGTGAAATGAGCCCTCCTGCCACACTGGGCCTCTTCCAATGGCTCATCCCCTTTGCCACTCCCTCCCCAAATACAGTATTAGCTGAATGTCATCCTGTGGCCACCACAACTCAGTTCAGCCCATGGCGTTTGTGAACTTTGCTCCAACATATTGAAGTGTGGACCTTCAACAGCAGGACTGACTCCCCCTTTCTGTTGTTTGCACATGCCCCTCTTACTGTACTGTAAATAGGTAATTTTGGAAGTTTATTTTTAAATAAATAATCAACTTGCTGTGCGTTTCAAAGTGGTTAAAATATTATGTAGCTATTTATAAAAATGCCCGGGTTCTTTAGTCTTCCAAGGGAGTGTCTCATGCCCTTCTGTGATGTGTCCTCCACTCACTGCAGTGAAGGTAGAGCAGAGTGTGGGGGCAGATGAGGCACAGAGACAGTATCCCCGAGTCGTCAGTGGAGAACCACTGTCTTCCCTACAATTAATCTCTATACACCTACCTCCAGTGTGCACTTCGGGGGTTAGGGCGGGCCAGGAGGTCGGTGTACCTGCAGACTGATAACCTAGTGACGAGTCAGGAACCTCACCTGCGGATCTACAGCCTGGTCTTTGCCACTTGCCGAGTGTGAACCTTGCACTCCAAACTTCTTCAGTCTTGCTTCAGAAGGAAACTCATTTGGGATTCCCATCACCCCTCCATCTCAGTCCTCTTCTCTTCATCTGTTTCCAGGACTCTGCAACATTTGCGATCTTTTTGCACTAAAAGTGGGCAGGCATTGGCGTGCACCCATCATACAGGTGTCTCTGGAGATTCTCAGCTGAGCCTAAGCACTTCCAAAACCGAAGGCCCCTTCAACTCCTCATGTGAATCACTGACCCCTGGATGTTCCTTTTGGGGTGCAGAGCAGGAGTGGGGCAAGAGTTTGAAAATAAAACTGGTTCCTTGTGAAATAATAATATATTCTAGCCATAAATGTTTGTGATGTACAGAATGTTATAGGAATTTACATTCAGTGGGTTTTCTGGTGGAAGGAGGTATTCAGCTCTTGAACAAATTTAAATCTGGCTGAATCCTGAGGCCACTGTGAATTTGCTGGTGTTCTTCCAACTCAGTTGAGTGATTTTAAGGTTTTTCAAATCTTCTATGGCTTTTTTATATCTCTAGTAGATCAGATGTAGATATTCAATGTGTATGTAAACCTGAATTTCAACCAACTTTATTACTAAGACCACCCCTTTCTGGGGCATTCATCTTTGACGTTCTTCCTTTCCACATTTCAGAAGTGTTCATGCCTATCCCCCTCCTGAGAGCTCTAGTTTTCCATTTCCAGATCACTCCAGCACTACAGTAACTTAGCCAGCCGTGATGCCACGTAACTTATGCAGTGGACAAAAGCAGGA